CATATTCCCCCACGGTCATGTTTCCTTGCTTCAACTCAAGGAACTCCCTAGCTTTCTGCTTTCTCAAATCTCGGGGAAAGTAGTTCCCTAGGAATATGGTCTTGAATGTCTCCCACTGGATGTAGCCATTCTTTTGTGGCAGGGTCTGATCGGCAAACCTTCACCAGTCCTCAGCCTCCCCACACAGCAAGTAGGTGGCATAGGCAACTTCACGGCACCCTATTGCATTGAAGATTTTCTCCACATCAGCCACCCACCTTTGGCCTCCTTTGGGATTGAATCTACCCTCAAACTTTGGAGGATCATGCCTAGTGACGGCAGATAACCCTCTATACTCAGCCAGCTCTCTGCCTTGATTGTGCACTATGGCTTCTAAAATCTGAGCCATGCATTCCATGAGGTCATTGGTGCCTCTAGCTCCTCTACCTCTACCTTCTACCAGACATATTCAATCTAGCTACAACAAGTCAGCAATCACATTCCAACATATTAGATCAATTTATACATTATAATTCAGGCAAACAAAACAACCAACACTTATCTTGGACGCTTCAGCCCGATACTTCAGTCCGGTTTGGATGAACTGCTCTGATACCAAAATTGTAACACCTTAAATTTAATTTCAATAAATAAGAAATTTTGCAAATTTTTTTAAAATAATAAAATTTCCATTTTTAATTCAAGTTACATCCACCATTTCAAATAAAGAAAGGGTTTACAAATTATATCAAACAGTTGCTACAGGACTTATTCAAATACAATAGTTTTTCAAAATAATATCCTAAGTCCTATAGCAGTTTCATCTACCCCTTCATTGAGTCCGGTGCTGATCGTCTTGATTACCTGAAAAATGAATGTAAGGGTGAGTACTCTACATTACCCAAAAACACACAATCACTGTAGAGTCTCACCTCCAGAACCTTCCTAATATATTAAACAAATACAATCACAGGCAACAATTCACATCCATAAGTACAAAATGCAAATTCATGCATACGCACACCAGTCACACTCACTTTAGTACTGTGATCACATATTTACACCATTAATGGTCGCCGATTACTTATGCCTCACAGATACCACATGGGCAGTCATAGGTCACTTAACAAAGATAGTGGTCAGAGGTCTAGTCAGGAAGAGAGTGTGTGGCCCGTGGTGCACCCGTTCCACAGTCGGTGTCACCACCACTCCCTCTTCCCCAATGTATTTCTACTGTCCTTATCTCCCACACCCCCAATGTATCGCTGAACCATTCACAGCACATTACAATGACGCTAATACACCCATTCACACATATAATTCATTCACGCATGCAATAATCATGCTTACACACGGCACACAGCCTAAATTGCATTCAAATACACGGCATTAGGCGCACATTCACTTCACGTTACACAACACATAGCCAATATTCATCTATATTACACAACGTTTATATACAATCCACATCCATCAAGTCCGGTCAACACACATAATGTTCACATATCACGGCACATGGCTCACATTACATTTCTCAGCAATTTCCTACCCACTAACTCAGCCACAACACAATATTAAGAAAAATAACAACAATTCATGCACAAAAGAGTAGGATAGAGTCCCCCTTACCTCGGATTGAAGATCCACACGCTAAATCCACCAAGAAGTGCTCCCCCTCACGAATTTTATCCTAAACACATGGAGAAACTTCATGAGAACCCAGGGAAGCCACGAAAACAGAGAAAGGGGATGAAAAGCTGAAACCCTAACCATTAAAGCTCACCTCCAAGCGTTCCACACACGGATTCAACCTTCAATCAAGCTCTCGAACGGCTTTGAAGGCAATTAATCGGTGGAATAAGGCTTTGGGCATGAGAGAATCGAAGGGAGAGGGAGAAATAACTCTCCCTGAACCCTAATCCTTTTTAAATCCTTTTTTGGTCGCGACACTATTGCTGCAGCAAGGAGACCTCGTTGTAGCGACATGCCCTCACGCTGCAGCGAAAATATCAGATGAAACTGCACTCTAGTTTCTGCAGAATCTCGCTATAGCGAGATTGCACCCAAAAATGCACCCCAAACTGTCTCTCTCTCGCTACAGCTAAATGTCTCTTGCTACAACGAGAAGGCGACAGTTCTGGTCCTTCCTCCCAGAGCACTCTCGCTACAGCAAGAATCCTCTCGCTGCAGCGAGAATAGTCCAATATCACGCCCTATACTTAGGCACTTAGCCCATTTCAGTTTTATCCAGTCATGCACACATATATTTATATACACATCCACAATATATATATATATATATATATATATATATATACACACACACACACACACACACATTCATACTCATTATACATAAAACACATCATTACGCATCCATTTACACTTATACACACATATATATGCATTTAGATTTATATAAATAACAATATTTAATATTACAAAATTTGGGGTGTTACAAACCAAATATCTGCTTTCCTATGAGTCTAATCAGCAAGTTTATACAAAAGCCTAGGATTTCTCACATGAATGCGGCTAAGAGAGTGTTAAGATATGTGAAGGGAACCATTGGCAATGGTGTTCTATTCCCTAGTGAAGCAACTCTAGAGGAATCAAATTTGATAGGATATACTGATTCTGATTGGAAGAGAGATCTAGAAGAAAAGAAAAGTACAACTGGTTATGTGTTTTTGTATTGCAATGCACCAGTTTCATGGAGCTCAAAGAAGCAGGATGTGGTGGCACTATCCACTTGTGAGGCTGAGTATGTCGCAGCCTCCTTTGGTGCATTCCTAGCTGTGTGGATGAAGAACTTGCTTGAGAAGTTGAAGCTTAGAGAGGCAGTGACAGTTAGATTGTTGATTGATAACAAGTCAATAATAAACTTGGCAAAGCATCTAACATTACATGACAGAAGCAAGCACATTGAACCAAGATTTCATTACATAAGGGATCAGGTACTCAAAAAGCAAGTGGTAGTTGAGTATTGTAGAGGGGAAGACCAAGTTGCAGATGTTATGACTAAACCAGTGTAGATTGCAAGGTTTAAGCAAATTTATAGTAAACTTGTAAGGAACTTAGAAGAACTGAATTGAGGGAGAGTGTTATAGCCAATTCAGTTTTAGAAGTTAGTTAGTTGAGTACTGTATAAAAATCATTGTTGTTATGTTTCACGCGCGCATATAAAAATTTCCTATTTCTCGTTCTCTCTCACTCTCTGTTCTCTCCTTCTATCATCAAATGAAGAGTGTGTGATCTTGTTATTTGTACAACAGGTGTTTTGGTTCCTACAACTTTGTTTACAATACTTAGAAGTCTGTCAAAATATTCTTTCACTATTTATGACTCCCTCATCCGCTGCATCTCAAACTCCTTGATAAAATTAAGCACTTGCATCCCTTTGACTTTCTCATTTCCTTCATACTCTTGCTTGAGAAAATCCCAGATTGCCTTTGCCGATTTCACAGTCATAATTCTAGTAAAGATTGCTAAAGAAATAGTAGAAAATACGCAAGATTTTGTTTTTTATTTTCATTGTTTTTTTTCCTTATAAAACTTGTTTTGATTAAGTGTTGGATTTTTTTGGTAATTGTCCAACCTCATAATCTTTTTCAACAGTCTCCCAAAGGTCACTTGCATTAAGAAAAGCCTCCATTCTAATTGTCCGTAGGTGATAGTTCTCACCCTAAAAAACTGGTAGTGTTATGACTAGGTTATCATATTACATTTTCAATTCTCAATGTAAGTGTTTAAGTGTTTAGTGGAACTCTCAACCTTACTAGGTCTCTCAAGAACAAATAAAGCTTTGATACTAAATGTTGAAACTAAGACAAATTTAGAAGGCTATGAACATGATAGTTGAAACTCACTTTTATTCATATTAACAACTTTTAAATACAAGAAAAACATAACTCAAAATTGATTCTAACTCTACTCCATAATCTAAAAATAAATAAAAAATAAAGTCATTCATAAATGTGTAACAACCCATTTACACCTATAATTTCTATAATCAAAACTCTAGAAATAAATACTATTAATAACTATTGATTCATATTCTCAACATATTTTTTTTATATCAAGAAGAATCTATTATTTTCTTCAACATGCTGGTATCTTGGGGTAATGTAGTTGCAACTGCACTCACAATGTTCACTTCATCCACATCAAGATGAACCAACTAAAGCACTCACATGGATAAGGATTAGCTTAATTAATTATTAATGTTTTGTTTGAAAGTTTGGAGCAAGAGAGACGAAAGAGAAGAGTTTGAGGAATAAGAAAGAAGAGAATACAAAAGGTAAAAGGAAGGTTAAAAAGAAAACTCTCAATTTAAAAAAGTTTAAAAACATGAATTTATGAAGATTTTAGAGGATTCAAAAAATGTCTAAAATCCTTCCCCCAGGTTTTAAAACTTACAAACAAGGGTTACTATCAAATAAGCTTTTGTGTTCCCTTTCTTCTCTCTCCTAAAATTAACTTTTAAATAAGACTTAAGTCTGTCTTTGAATTGATGATCTTAAAATTCTAAAAATAAAAAAAGCAACAACAAGAGATGCTTAAAGTAGAAGCTAAGTATGAGTGAAAATATAAATGATAAATGTAAAAAAGTTAAACATAATAGATACTAAATATAAGTCATTAGCAACTTCTTCTATTTAATATAAAAATTATATCTAGTTAAAATTTTATAGTATTTTAAAACTACTTTCTTTTACCTATCTAAATAGATGCACTGTAGTAATTATAAAATGTTATATCCAAACACGGCAGAAGAGAATGATCCACTACCATACACTTGTATAAAATGCTTGATATGTAGCCTATATAAAATTGATGATGTCATTATGTTGAATAAAATCAGAAATTTTTGTTTCAACTTCTGCATCTTTTTCTCTTCAATTCTTGGTGAATTAATGATTAGCTTTACGAAATATATATTGTCAAAACATATTTGTTGATTATTTTTCACAGGATTATATAACTAAATATTATCAAAGTTCCGTAATGATATATCTCACCCAAATCTACTGCCAGCATGACCTGTGAGCTTTGAGATTGAAAACACCATGAGATCTTCATCAGCTGGAGAAGGAATAGCAGTGAAATGTGGCCAATAATAAACACGATCATAGATGGTTTTAACGTTAGGGCCATGAAGAATTCCCTTATTCAACTTTCCATCTGGATTATTTGGTGAAGTCACAAACTCGATAAATCTTGTGGTGCTATCTGAGTAGTTCTTCCATGAGGACGTGTCCCCTTCATATATATAATTCCTTGAATTAAAAAGTTGGGTTTGGGAACGATATACCTGTCACAAAAAGTTAATCCCAGTATATGTCTTTTATCTGCTAATTAATTTCATAATCTAAATATAATTCAACACAAGGAAATGGTAGAAAGATCAATGGAGCTTAAATGCTTACATCGTAATGTGGGGTTGTGGCTACGACTTTTGCTGGAGATATTGAAGAGTTGAGAGACAAGGCATAAACAGCAGCATTAAGGAGATGGGTTGCACCATTTCCAAATATGATATACCTTCCTTCAGTAACAGCATTTCCAACAATGTCATGAACTTTACGGATGTGCTTCACCAGCATTTCTGACATTAATGATCCATCACTATATATATATTTCATTCTGTGCCAACCTGATACTAAAATTGCACTACTTGCTGCATGTTGCATCCAAAATGGCTCCAAAAATAATGGATCCCCACTGCAGTAAACAGATCCAGTGAATTTTAAGTCTATCGTGGCCTAAATGATTTAATTACAACATACATGTTTCCAATATTCTCATTTGCTTTATTGTTTATAAACAATATGTTTTTGAGTTATTAACTATTAATTGAATTAAATTTTCAGTTACACAAGCTGAAAATATAATTTAGCTAGTTATGAAAATGGTTCATGAAAGGGAAATATTGGTCACATGTCCAAAAGAAAACAAATCAACATTCAATTTATCAACAAAACTTCAAAAATCCATAGAAGTCAGATGAACTAGACTACTATTGTAATGAGACCAATGGTTATAATTAGCTGTATCGTTGAGTTTATCGGAAGAGAGTTTACCTTTCAGCGTTCGCAGAACAATTAGATAAAAAATTGGAGCAATCTGAGCCACCATAGCATGAATTGCATTCGCAAACAGGCTCATGTCCATTAAGAATCAAACCATCTATGTAGGCTCTTCCATGTCCTGAGCATGTTATGGCTGCCACAGCCTCAGCTTCTTCAGCAGCTTTAGTGCTCCAATTGGGCTTCCATTCTCCTCTACAAACAAATTGGTTTGAAGCAGACAATAGAATCATGATCGATACAAATGCTAAAAGCATTGGATTTGTCTTTTTAGCCATTCTCTTCGTAAAAATTGAGGAAATCTTCAAACTTGTATTGGGAAAGTGGTTTAAGCTTAGAATGATGAATTTTCAAAACTAAGGGTAGTGGGCCAACTATAGGATAAGGAATTTTAAATAATATGGCTTGTGCGATATGAGAATCTCCAGGTCACCTTAAGTATTAGTAATCATACTTACAATAATAATTAGGTAATATGGTTCAGTTTGAATCACGTGCTTCATTAATCAAATCACATACTGTGAATTGCATTATTCTTTATTAAGATCTGGTTCGATAAATCTTTCAAGTATTTTATTGTATTAATAAAAAAAAAACAAAGGAAAAAATTAAAAAAAAAAGTTGGTTATGTAGAACACGATTATTAAAATCTATATCCAAAAGAAAGTTAAATGCACCAATAGTGCCTAATTAAAAAATTAAAAACTATTTTTTAATGTGCGTGAAAAGATATAAATAAAATAATAATAATAAATAAATTTTATTAAAAATTATAATATTTATTTTTTAATGCATTAAATTATATAATTTTTAAAATATATATATTATATATAAATATTTATCGTGAATTCTTGTAGATATTCAAAAAATCGTTTAATACCAGTTGATGATAAGAAACAAAAAAAAAAAAGGTTGAAAGCATGGGCAAGTAGCACTCAGCTTTATTATGCTATAATAGACATGTCATTTCCAAGTCTTCAAGTTGCATCCCACGTTTCGATGACTTTGTCTCCTGCAAGTGGCATCCTGAGGGTTTTAAGTTGTAATTACAGATTGGGATTCGTTAATTTTTATGCATTCCTTTGGGTTGGGCTCTTAATTTTTGGACCATTATTATGTGACAACATAAAGTAATGAAGTATAACTTTTAATAATATGACAAAATTTTAATACTCTCTCTATTTTTTTACAAGAACTTTTAAACTAAATCACACAGATTAAAATAATTTTAAATAGTTATTAATTTTTTAAAAATTAATTATAACATTTTAAGTTAAATTTCTTCATTAAAGTTAGTTTTTAATACTATACTAATTGTCAAGAAGTTAAAAAAGTTCATTAACAAAGAACAAATTCGTAAAAATAAATAAAAAATTCTTGAATTTTATAAAAAAACTTATTATAAAAACTTATATATATATATATATATAATATAATCTTATAAAAGAATAAAATTCGTATACTAGTAATATTCTACTTTATTTCAAAAAGTCAACAAAATTTTATGAACTGGAGTATAAGGAACGGTACGATCATCATATAATAAGCAGCTATAGAGTCACTACAAACAGGCTTTGTCGAAGGCATCTTATTAAAGGAGAAATACACTAACCAAAACAATTAATTACATAAAATGTTTATTAAGTTTAGGAGAAAACAATTAATGATGAAGACCTGACTTTGATGCACTAAAATGTCTGTGAAAAAGTGGCATTTTGACTGTGACTTCATACTGGGTGAGGCTGCGAGAGAGAGGATCATGAATTGTTTTCTTTGCCCAGCAAGAGGGACCAACAGTGACATCGCGAAAGAGAGATTGCTGCAGTTTTTTGGTAACGCAAGTAAAAACTATATTTTTAATTTTTAATAGTTATTATGTAATTTCAAAATAATTCGTTATCTAATTTGTTAATTAATTGTAAAATATTAGTTGACATATAATTTTAAATAAAAAAATAATGCCGTTTACAAAAAATAATGTGATGTTATAAAAATATAAAATATGCAGTAATATTTGTGATGTTATAATGAAAATTTAAAATAGTTTTAAAATTATATTAGATTTAGTAACAGAATAATCACAGAAAAAGATAATTTTATTTAAATTTTCTCTTACTGGTAAGATGTTACTTGACATATTATTTTAAATTTAAATTAAAAATATTATTCAAATAAATTATTTTTAAAGTTTAGTTAAATTAATAAAAATTATAAATGTATAATAATATTTTTGACATGACAATAAACATTTTAAATAAGTTAATAAATATATTAAATTTAAAAAAAGGTTAGTATATTATATTAATTATAATAATTAATAAAATAACTTTTAATATTATTATAGTTTGTGAATCTAAACTTGAAAAAATATTTTTAAAATATTATATTGTATTTAGTAACTTAATATAATTATAGGAAAGAATATTAAAATAATGTATAATTTATTAAATAATAAAATAATATTAATATTATGTTAATTGAAATAAAATATAGCTTAAAATAAACTTTAAATTTTGTGTTATTATCTATCTTATATTATTATAAGATATATTTTTAACATATTTGATTTAATTGATTTTTGGTATTAAATAATTTAATTACATATTATGATAGTTTAATATTATGATAACATGAATGACTTCATCTTTTTTAAATTATTATTGGACTGAATCTAAAATCTGAGTCATTAAAATTGAGATGTAATAAGTGCTAAGTTATCGTTTGTAATATGAATTAGGTCACTTATTTTTTTTAATGAATTAATTTGAGTCTCAATTTTTTTATTAATTTGAAAGAATTTGAATTAACTAATTATTTTAATTTAGAAATAGAGATGAAGAATTTTTTTAATTCTTTTTTATTAAATTCCTTATTTTACAAAACTCTTAGGGAGGAAGGAAAGCAAGAAAGAAAAAGAAAGAAAGAAAGAAAAAAAGTGAATTTATTAAATTTTTGCTCATGTGAAAGATTTCTCGGTTGAGCGTAATGTAAAAAATAAAAATTAGAATTTGTTTGATTTTATCTCAAACGAAAATTTTTAACTTAAATGAAAATTTCATTTTAACTCAAGTAAGAATTTCTAGTTTGAGCAAGAATTCATTAACTTTACTTTTAAGAAAGAAGAATTAACAAAGAAAAAGTAGATCATAGAGCGAAAAAACAAGACAGAGAAGAGAAAGCTAAGGCAAGAAGCATTGGACATCAATCCTCATCTTTTTTCTCTTTCATTTATTATAACAGCTACCATAGGTAGCTAAACTGCCTTTAGAATTAGATGTAATCTTTAACTCAAAAGTACTTTTATAATTTATATATAGTTATTCATTTCTATAGAAGTTGGTGGTTTCATTCTATTTTAATGCTTGATTGATCTATTTTTAATAATAGGATTTTGATTTAGAATTTAAGGTTTAGCTGAAAAAGAAATCTTAGAACCAAATTGAATAAAACTCACTTGATTTGTTGTGATGTTAGGAATAAGTTTCAATATATCGATTATTTTTAACTCTTTTTTTTTTAATGCCAGAAGATTCATTGAATATATAAAGGAATCATTATTTATTGTATATTCTTAGAAACTTTGTATTTGAGGAATTAGTATAAAGAAACATTAAAAAAGTACATCTACATCTATAGAATACTTTTTAGGTATTTATTCATCAAAATATGGAAGAGGATGAATAATGAAATCTAATCCCAACTCAAACTCTAATATTTTTATATCTTAGTCAAATTCAATTCTTGAATTTCCAAAATTTTCAATCCATGAATGTTTGTAAAAATATTAATATTTTTGTTAAGAGTTTTAATTAATTAGGATAATATAGATTATAAAAATATCTACTAATCCTTTTGGAAACAACAATTCTTTCTTCCTTACTAAAACAAAAGTTTAGTACACTTGTCAAAATCACAACAAGACGTGCACATCATAAAAGATAACCAAAGAATAGTTTACCATACCAGATCATTCCATATTTATAGTGAGCAAATTTTTAAGAATTATGCAATCTTTAGCATGTGGAGAGATAAAGATCTAAAACATACACTTTTCATTGGTCTACATAATGATGGTAAACTAGTTATTAAAAATACATCATGTGAAATATGGTTAGTTTTTGTTGAAAAGATATTGAGAATATCACTTCCTGAAAAAGAATTATACAGTAGAGCATTGAAGATGAGTTGGTTCTTAAGTCATTTTGATGATATAAAAAACCATCTTAACAATGAAATATAGTTAAAAAGATATACACAAGTGTACATTTTAAGATATAATACTTTTTTATTATTTTTTTGTAGATCAATGGTGACTGTTATATAGGAGTAATACTCTAATTTTACAAAACCTTGTAATGGGCCTTCTTAGCCAAATATCTTCCAAGTTAAGATAAAAATTGGAGTGTTGTTTAAACACATTCATGAAAAGAAAAAAAGGAGTAAAGGATATTGTTTATGTTATAATTTCCGTTTGAAGAATAAATAGATAGTTATTAATTATAAATTACTTGAAATTTAAAATATCTTTTTCTAACAAAATTATGACTGTTATATGCTTTATTTTATGTTGGAATACAATAAGCGATCTTATGATTTTATTGATTATAAATCTATTGATAAAGTTGATTTTTGGGTCGTTGAAGAAGAATCACTCCTTAAGTATAATGACGCTGTTGATAATATTATTTATCATGAGAATACAATTCTGCTAGTTAGTAAACTATTAAATAATGAAGGCCAATGTTTAATTATATCTATATATTAAAAAACAACTAAAGTTAGGATCAAATGAATTTTTTCTTAGAAACTTTGATGACATTGAAACTAGTAGAGGAACAAGTAGATAAACTAACATTGAGATATGGTGGATTTAATATTAATGATTGTTATAATATTAGATAATATATATTACTTTGATTTATATTTTAAAGTCAAAATATTGTAGCTTTTTTCTTTTAACTTTAATTTAAATATTATGTTATATTTAATTTGGTTTATATATTACGTTTTGTAACATAAAATTACGAATATTACCAATCTAACTACGATTCAATCATGGTTTAACCACTAAACTTTAAACTATTTATTTGTCCGGTTCTAATAACTATATTCGCAATTGAATTTAGCGATTAAATTTGTAATGAATATTTTAATATAGTTAGCGACCAAAACACTTACCATTTGAGTAATGAATTTAGAGATTAATTTTGTCACTACTATATCAATAACATTTTGACACCGAATTTTGCAATCAACTTTTGTTATAATGATCGATTTTGTGATCAATTAGTTAATCATAATTTAATGACCAAATTGATAACTAACAGTCGTAATTTAGCAACTGAATTAGTGATTAAACAAAATTAATCATTAAAAATTTTGGCCATTAATTTTGAAGTTTAGTGATTGAATTTTCGATCGCTAAAATTTAGACCACTTCAATTTGATCAATAATTAATTTAACGGCCATACTTTTATTTTTTAGTGACCAATTTTTTCGGCCAGTTTCTGTGTCACTTTTCTTAGTACTACAAAAAAATCACTTATTGGTGGAAGTTAAATTCTATGATTAATGGCAGTTTTAACTGTCTTTAAATATTTTTTAAGCAGTTATGAAACCAACGTTAAAATTGACAACGCAAAACTAAATTTGTAGCGGTTTTGAACTGCTTCTAAAATTTGAAATTCAAATTTCAAACTACAGTGTTCTTTTTTTTTTTTTGCTTCTACACTTTTTTTCATTTTTATCTTATACTCAATTCTTTTCTTTGCTATTTAAGTTCACATTCCATTTTTTTTTAACATCACAACATATATATTATATAATTTATAGTGTAGAGTCATTGGAGAAGAGTCATTTTTAGAGAAATTAAAAAAGATAGTAGAAGATTACCAAGTTGTCAAGGTGATGGTAGTCGCGGTAGTGGTGGTAGTGGCAGAGAAAGTTGTGGAACTCATGAGGCTAAGGTAGAGATGAATGATAGCTTTGAGTGGGTGATGAAGAATGGAAGAAGAGTGATGTTTTTTATATTTTGTTATCTCGAATGGATGCTAAGTCTCGCATTTTTTTGTGGCAGTTATGCAAAACCACTATTAAATCACGTCTTTTTTGCGGCGGTTATGCAAAATTGCCACTAAATCCTACCTTTTTGTGGCGGTTATACAAAATTGCCGCTATATCTTGACTTTTTTATGGCGGTTACACAAAATCGCTGCTAAATCTTGCATTTTTACGGTAGTTATGCAAAATTGTCGTTAAATCTTACCTTTTTTTTGTAGCGGTTACACAAAATCGTCATTAAATTTCACATTTTTTTTGCGACAATTATTAAAACTGACGTTAAATATTATTTTCATAATAGTTTATTGGTCATTATTGCCGATCGCCAATAAATGGCACATTTCTTGTAGTGTAGGTTGTAATTACAAGGTTTTTAAAATAATAAATATAAGTTATTCCAAACTAATAACTCAAATTGACCCTTGTTAATTACTAACCCTTCGACTCGTAGTTATATACATAAATAAAAAATCCTCCAAATTAACATGTACAACACTTTATTATAATCAAATAACTTTTAATAGCATAGTTTACGCTATATTGAATGTAAAATTAAATGGGTTTTGTCAATCTCAGTATTTAGAACTGAGTTTAAGAAATTAAAAATATAAATTTTTTATAAAAAAAATTCACAATTATTATATTAGAATTATAAAAGTACAATAAATACTTCTCTTTTTAATAAATTTTTAACGAAACCCAAACTAAATTACATTAAAACAGCCACAATATTAAATTAATGCGAGTACTTAATACTGAAAATCCTTGTAGAGTAATGCTTTATTGTTTCACAATGAGCAATGCCATATTAATTATGTATCATGTTATTTACATTAAGAACAACATATTTAACAGTGATTTATTACATGAAAACAACAACCTTACATATTTCAGAAAGTTTTATTATGTACGTAATTATTTTTAAAATATGACACTGTTTTAAACTTTATTTGGGTCTCATTCTTTGGCAACAAGATCTTTTAGCTTCTTTATTAGTATCTCAAAATCATCTTGGCTTTTAATGAGACTGAGACGCACGTAATTATTATCAGCACTATAGATACTTCCTTGACGGCCAATGATATCAGCGGCTTTGAGAATTTCATAACAATTTTTGTCTTCTTGTCTCTCACATTTCAACCAAGCGTATGCTGTGAGAAAATTAAAATAAAATTGTTAAGACATTGGAAACATTTTCACTTCATATATCTTACTCAACTTTATTTATTATGGGATAATTAAACTTCAATTAATTAATTAATTCTTCATAAAGCTCATGACATAAATGGTTTAAGACGTAATTAAAATTAAAGGGTCAAGAATGAATATAATTTTCCATACATCAAATATGATATTTACCTGGTGACAGATCTCTGGTTCTCTTGAAATAGGTACAGTACTGAGGCGATAATTTCTGTAGAGAAAAACGTTTCGATTTTGATAGAATTTGTTTCAATCTTCTCCAGCGATCGCTCATGGTTCTATATGCAAATTGAAATATTTCTCTTCCGTCTCCTTCAATAACCACATCTAAAAGTTTTAAAGCTCTTAGTTGAGCTTCACGAGAAATTCCCATGGTGTTCAAATCCAAATATGTCAACATCTTTTGATAAACTGTCTCATTCTTTATTATTGCCCATCTGTGGAGAAAGAAAAGTTCTGGGTTAACTTTGATGTGAAAGTTATACTCTCATGATGCTTATCCAAAAATAAAGTTTAATTTAGACGAATTTAAGTTTTACACTCAATTAATGACAATTGCATATCAATAACGACGGCTAAGTTTGACCACCTCCAATATAACCTATTTTTTCCTCATCTGATTTTTCTATCACTCTTGTAATATAAAATCCTAGAGCATTACTTCAGGCTCTTTAACAAATTATGGTGGTATTCTCAAATTACTATATTGCCTTTAAAGTTGTGAGCCTTATATTATACCAAGTTTAAATTTTATTATGAATAATAATAATAGCAAATATATCAAATCTATTGTTACTAAGCGAAAGAGAAACTTCTATTTGAGATACTATTCATTTTTACAATTTGATGCAGTTTAAGCTAGCACAATAGTAAAGTTAAATTGTGCGGGCTTAAATTGCATCAAATTTCAAAGAGTTATTGGATCAAACATGTTAATAATTTATCTATTACTAAATCGCGCATGTGATTAGATTATTTTCATAGAATTAAATGACTCAGCTAGAGAAAAGATTCATAAAACTTTTAATTACCCAAATCTACTCCCAGCATGGCCTGTGAGTTTGGAAATTGTAAACACCATGAGATCTTCATCAGCTGGAGACGGAATAGCAGTAAAATGTGGCCAATAATAGGCATGATCATGAATGCTCTTAACATTAGGACCACGAAGAACTCTCCTTGTCAACTTTCCATCTGGGTTGTTTGGTGAAGTCACAAACTCGATAAATCTACTGTTGTCATTCGAAATGTTCTTCCATGAGGATGTATCTCCTCTATATTCAAAATCCCTTGAATTGAAAAACTGTGTTTGTGTTCTATAAACCTATCACAAAAAAGTTTATCATATATAGTTGATGTCAATCATATGCTAATTAATTTCACAAAATAGACATATACATGTAAGAAGGAGCGAGCAATATAGCTCAAGTGCATACTGGGTAATACGGGGCTGTGGCTACCACTTTTGCCGGAGACACCGAAGAGTTGGGAGACAAAGCATAAACAGCAGCATTGAGGAGTTGAGTTGAGCCACTTCCAAATATGATATATCTTCCTTCAGTAACTGCATTCCCAACAATTTCATGAACTTTTCGGATGTACTTCACCAATAATTCTGAAATGTATGATCCATCACTATATACGTAGCTCATTCTGTGCCACCCTGATACCAAAATTGCACTTCTTGCTGCATGTTTAATCCAAAATGGCTCTAAAAATAGTGGATCGCCACTGCAATAAATAAACAAAAAAGATGATGCAAAAAGTAATAATTTCCCATAATTGGTTAGCATTTAGAATATTGATTTTGTGGGAGGGTTTCACCTTCCAGCATCAGCGGCACAATCAGTCAAGAACACGGAGCAATTAGAACCAGTATAGCATGAATTGCATTCACAAACAGGTTCATGTCCATTAAGAATGAGGCCATCTAAGAAGGCTCTTCCATGTCCTGAACATGGTATGGCTGCCACAGCCTCAGCTTCTTCAGCAGCTCTGGTGCTCCATGTGCCCTCCCATTCTCCCCAACAAACATACATGTTTGAGACAAAGAATAAAATCAACGTTATCACAATTAATGCTAAATGCATTGGACCAGTCTTTTTCCCCATTTTCTTTGTAGCTTTTCTCAATTGAAATGGGTCATGCCATTGCATTTATATAAAAGTATAAGCATAATGAATTTTCAAAGTTATGGACAAACCTTGAATTTTCTAGTGTTTATGAAGTATACGCTTTTTGCACTGAAAATTTGGACACATTCTACAGGGAGAACATCATTTATAATTTTATATTTTTAGTGTAGTCAATATATTACTTAAGTATACATATATAAATTAATAACTGAAATAATAAATACATATTTATTTTTCTTTTATTTATTGATTTTTTAAATTATTATTAGTTGTTTTAATATTATATATATATTTAATGTTTTACATGTATATTCACAAATAATTTCAACTTTAATTCATTGATTTAAGTAAATTAGTATTAGCTATTATATTCTTAAGAAAAAATTATTCTAACTTTATTCTGATTTATTTTGTCTTTTGAACATTTAAAAAAGTCACTAATATGTTATTTTCATTAAGAACATTAACTTCTTTATCATTTTTTATTTTTTCTTTTATATATATTATTTATTATTCATCGTACATTTTTTATATCTTTGTGTTCTATTTATTATATTTTTAATTTCAACTTTTTCCTTTGGTTTTTCTTCTTGCTCCATTTATCTTTCTCTTCTTTCTCTTTTAAATTTCTTACAGAAAAGATAATGAAGGTGATGGCTATTACCATCACTATACCAAAATGTAGATCTGAGAGCAGTTCCATTTTGAATTAAAGAGCGTTTAGAACTGTTCTAAAAACTTGTGCTATCTGATGTATTATATTTAAGAGAGCGGTTAAAGAACTGCTGTTAGATGTTAAGATTAGAAAGCGGTAGGCGAAACCCCTCTTCAAAGTATAGGTGTAACATTAGAGAGCGGTTCTACGTGGAACCGCTCTCCAAAGTATAAATTTAAACTGCAAAATTTGAAATTGATTTCTTTGTGAGTTTTCTGTTGCAAAATAAAAATTTATTATTACATTTAAATCAAAATTTAGAATTAATTTCTTTTTGAGTTTTCTTCATTTTTATCACAAATCAAAATTGAATCTTGAGTTTATATATTTGGTATTAACCAAGCAGTCCACATCTGCATGAACGAAACACAAGTAAGTAGAGAAAAAATAGAACAAATTAATAGGATAATTTTTAACATTAATAGAGAGAAAAAGAAAGAAAGAGAGAATGAATGATTCACCATTAACAAAGAGAAGAAGAAAGAAAGAGAGAATAAAGAAATACATACAGATGTAAAAAAAACTAATTTGTTAGCGTAAAGAAGATGAAGAGAGCAGACTAACACAGAATGAAAAGGTACTTACAGATGGAGAAAAAACTAATTTGTTAGCAAGAGAAGACAAAGAGAGTGGCTAACAGAGAAGATGAAGAAAACATAAGAGAGCAGAGAAGAAACTTACAGTGAAAGAGACAAACTTTGTTAGCTATGAAGAAGAAATGCGTTGAGCGTGTTGATTTATAAATGACTTTAATAATATTAGAGAGCTGTTAAAATAGATCTGATAGCGGTTCTCTGTTAACCGCTCTCAAAAGTATAAATCTGAGAGCGGTTAATAAAGAACCGGTTAATAAAGAACCGCTCTCTAAATATATAATTACAAAGCAGTTTTTATTAACCGTTATCTAAGTTAGCGCTTCAAAAGCTCATTTCTGGTGTAGTGCATAAAGAGCCATCACAAGCATAAGGAAAGAATATCATTGTCTTTGTTGGTGTAGGAGGTGTTGTTGTTGATCCACAAAAAAATTGTCAAGAGTGATGCAGCATTTAGTGTGGTGAAAGAGGAGTATGATAATAGTACCAAGGGATGGCAGGATGATAGCAACCACATGGTGACAAAGTTGTTGGTGTCAAGAGTGTATGTTGGAGAAAGAAAGAGGGAAGGAAGAAAATAAAGTAGAGGAGGTGAGAGAGAAAATTGAAACCAAATATTTGAGAAAGAAGATAAACATTGCATTGCATGAATAGTACACACAATAAAAAATAATTATCAAGAGTGAAAGTTTTTAACCAAAAAAAATATTTATTTAAAATATTTTTATAACTAGAGATCAAAATGAATCAAAATAAAATTAAAGATTAGAATTGAAATTAAATTTTAAGTTAAAAAAATTAAAACTAATTTTTTTAATTATTTTGAGTTAACAAATATTTGTAAAACTAATGAGGTTATGGTATTAAAATAGCATCATAAAACATATTAAATACTCTCTTAACTGTTAAATTTTAAAGGATCACTTTCGTATATTTTATTTTCAGAATATATAATAATTTTATTAACATATTTATATATGAAAATTATTTTTTAAAATCTAAAATAAACTGTATAAGGGGCTGAATATTATAACTAGTTGATTAGTAATAGAAAGTTCTTTTCAACGTTCATTTAATTGGTCAATGCATTTCTTAGCGTGTTTCGATTTAATTCCATCAGTCAAATCACATCGTTCATTTTTCAGCTCATGAATTTAGATCTTAACATAGCAATTTACTGCCAAAATTCAAGATTATACGTAGGAACTTTGTTGACGGCACGTAGGAATTTCACAACCCCATCAGAGAAGAAAAAATAAAACACATGACTTAATGGTTGAATTTGTTATACATGTTAGAATTGTCGCATAAAATTTAATAATACCGTAATTAGCATACACATCAGCAGTTTTTATATTTTATTTTTTGTTTATAAATTTTGTTAGGGAAACGTTTTAGTTGTAAATGTAATAATTGATTTTGATAAAATGTGAATTTTAAAACGATAACCAGCGTCAAACTTTATCCAATAACAAATGTTGTTGGCTCATTCAACAGATAATCATACAAATCTATCCAAAATCTAAAACATAAACGCAACAAAAAGCAATAATCCTATAATGCTGGGTGCACAAATCATCATTTGATGGAGAGTTTGAACGTTCTACGTTCTTCAAACTTGAATTGAATTTAATCATAATTGCTTAGATAAGGATCAAATAAACTCATTTTAACCTATGATGCTCTATAAATTTTAACTTTATCTTATAATTATCTTTAGGTAGATTTGATTCAATTTAATTTAGTTTTCATTATTATAACAAAATCTGTCGTTATAATTATAAGTCTAAACAGTGATAATTTTATAAATTAATAATTGAGTTCAATATTCATGGAAATAATACGTACTGTTTTACTTTTAGCTTGACAAGATATATTTATTGAAATTTATCTTTTATATATATATATATATATATATATATATATATATATATAATGTGTTGGAAGATGAAAAGACAGAAAATGTTAAACTTTAGAAGAAAATATTTTATTAAGATTGAGAGATTGTGATCTCTGATAATATATTTTTAAATTGTACAATGAGTTTGAGTTCGAAGGTGTCTGACTTTTGGCACATTGTATCAATTCATATGATATAGAATTAATTGATAATCTATCTTTATTAGAATGATATGTTATGGGGAGTATAGATCTTTGTTTAAAAGTTGATATATGTGAAAAATGATGAATTCATGTTTTGATGGAAAAAAATTATAGAGAGAGAATTGATGTATGAGGAATTACAGTTGTTTATGTTATCAAAGTGGAAAGAAAAGTGTTGAGAAAATGTGTGTCATGAAAAAGTGATTAAATTATGTATAAATAGTTATAGAGATGCACTGGAAGTATAGAAGACGAAGGTGATTTTGAAAATCTGGAAGAAATGAGAGTGGTGAATAATTTTTTTTTTATTGTGCATAACTAATGAGAGTAAAAATATCACACGTCTCACACTCATTTCCTATCTTAAACTTGATGACAATCACAAACTGTGTCGCCGAATAAAATGATCTTGAATTGGATTTCACACAACAAAAACGAAATTATTAGGGTACAAATAGGAATTGAAATAAGAAGAAAATTAATAAAAAGTGAAAATAGAATAAGAGATGGAAAATGGCGCCACAATTGCAAGATTGATAGGCCAAGGAACGATTCGTCATAAGAGTCTTGACTTCTTGATAAGATCAAGAAAACTGTCTCACTTAAGAACCTAGAGTCACACGCTTTCACAAGAGTGTTCAATCTCAAATTGTATTTAAAACTAATTAAAAGTGTATCTACGAGAGCTTATATATGTCTAATGCTTGTAAACTAATATTAAGACAAACCCTAATGAGCTTCTTATACCAACAAGCCTAAATTCAATTAAACTAAACAAAATAACAAGATTTTATCCTAAATAAAAACTCAAAATAAGTAATGACTAATATTAAAATAAATAAACTAAACATAATAATTAAATCTTAATAAAACTCGTTAGAGTTCAAATCTTCTAAGCATATGTAATTGATTATCTTGGACTTTTCTAATTCTAAATTGAGCTCCTTTTCAAATAAGACAGCAACAATCTTTTCTAAGTCTCAATTTATTCTTTTTGCCCTTACCCTTGTTATTGGCCCTTGAAGTCCTTCCAATGCCTTCAGGTCTTTATCTTCAATGGGCCTTCCTTGATTCTCATCAAAACTCTTGACCATACTTTTGGTAAAATGGGTTGGGTTGGCATGTTATAATTTTCTTTGATCCATTATGCAATAACTATTATGAAATTACCTTTTTCTTTGATCTTGAATTACGTTGTTCTCACAATACAATATATGATTTTCATACAATTAACGATTAAGAGAGCACTAACCTGATCCATTGTTCTTTGATGTTACCTCTCTCTTTGATGTCTTTGATCCCTTTGTATTTTTCCAACTCTTCCTTCCTCTTTTAGCTTCTCTCGGATGGTTGAGAGAAAGTTTCTTACTTGCGTTTACCGTGAGCTTACTTAGAGACCGTGAAAGTGAAAATATAGAGAATACCATAACCTCTATTTGGTAACCGCTCTTTTATTTTTTTGAAGGGAGAGGGAAGAGTTTCCTTATAATTTTATTTACAATTATACCCTCAATGACTCTATATTTTATATGTAACCACCATCACATTAAATCATTAATTAGAGTCATGCTATAAGTT